TTTATCACATATCGTGCTGCTAAAAAGAGGGTTTGTCAAACATCATTATGTGACAAGCAGGGAGCAAACAAAGAAGCAAGAGGCGAAAGGAGAGAGCATAGAGGAAGGCTCAGTAGATCAAGAGTAGAGCACTCAAGCTGGATCTGTGCCCATCCATCTCATGGCTGAGCAGGAAACCAGGAATACAACACCAGACACAATACATAATAGGCAGTTCTATCTGGCAGCATCCTAACTGTACCTCATAAGTGACTAATTTGGAACGCTCTACATAGGCAGCAATCCTTGAACAACACAAATAGCATGCCACATGGGAGTGATAGTCTAATAAGCATAAAATACACAGCACACACAAATATTGGGTAAAATAACTGACTGTAGACTAATCTAGGTGATATGTATACTGCTTCAAAATATTAGCCAGTCCCACCAGGATTTTTTGTGATTTTTGTTATTAAAATTTTTATATTTTGTGCTGGAAATTTGCTAAATGTTTTCGGGTGTGCGTCAGTCAGTGGGAATCGCATTAAATTAATAGTTCATCTAAATATATAAATTCTGTCATTAATTACTCACCCTCATGTCGTTCCAAACCCGTAAGACAACAACGCAACTACCACGTTTAAGGCCCCGAAAAAATCGATAGAAAGGACATCGATAAAATAGTCCATGTGACATCAGTGGTTCAATTGTAATTTTATGAAGCTACAAGAATATTTTTGTGCGCAAAGAAAACAAAAGTAACGACTTTATTCAACATTTCTTCTCTTCCATGTCAGACATGGTACGGAAGAGTAGAGAAGTTATTTTTGTTTTCTTTGCACACAAAAAGTATTCTCGTAGCTTCATAAGATTACGGTTGAACCAAAGTGTACACCAAACTGACCAGGTCATGTGATTTCAGAAAATGAGGCTTACATCATATTTCGAAATGTAAACTGACCTCGATTCAGTTTAATCTTTTAGGTTATTAAATGTTGAGTGGACTTGTCTTTACGTTCCTTTAAGTTTAAGTTCTTTAACATCTTTAATGATATTTTAGATCACACTTTTGATTTTATCCCTATGCATCCTAACCCTAAACCATTCTCAATGCATTTACAGTACAATGCTTTAAAACAATCACTGTTGAGACTCGGTTTAATTAATTAGACGTTTCCCATCACTACTATTATAAATGTGTTTATTTCTAAAGATTTATTTTGCCTTAACTGCCATTTTGGATTTATTTTTCCACTGAACTCATCTCAATGTTTCATACAGTAGGATTGCATTTTCTATAAAGGACATATACCATGCTGCCTTAGAATTTGGAAAACTGTGTATTTTAGGTGGCAGCATAATTAAAATACTTAGATATTAGATAAGCATTTGCATTCACGATGCCTTAAAATGCAACCCAAATAAGAAAATCACTAGGTTTTGGATCAAAGCATATGTTTACTCACTCAAATACTACAAAACCGGAATTCTCTGCAATATAAATTCAAAAATATTGAGTCTGATAGTGCTCTGCGGTTTACATTCAATATTTTATGTTAACAATCAATTTGTATGGGCCTTGTGGTTACACAATCAATCTATTGCGTTTCATGTCTTCATCATGTCAGCCATTGGCAACAGCCTCTATCAATTTTTAAACAGCTCTGCGAGCTCAATGTAATGGGTTCAAGGCCACAGACCAGACTGCAGCACATTTAAAGAACAATCTCATCATAGAAAATAGACTGAAGAATGTTCAGGTGGAGAGTTAAATCAGAGTGCTGATAAAGGATCAGCTTTACACTTACCATGTGCTGATAGAAAAAGTATGTGCTATATCTACTGGGATGGAGTGAAGGGACTTGCACAGGAATTTTGAGACAGACAAAGGAGCACAGAAAGCAAGGAAAGTGTCAAAAAGTTGAGAAACGTTCAATGTTATGCAAATGAGAGGTGGAAAGAAAATGCTGGCCAACAGTTAGTTGTGATGTAAAGGAGTGACATCAATCAAACAATTTTCAAAATCTGAGTTTCTGATATATTCAGGCCCTACATCACATTGTTGCATATTACTAGTATTTGCACATTTTTACTCTTGCTAGGTTAGTAGTAATTAATAAAAAATAAAAAAAACATGAACTTATCAAATTTTCATTTTGACCTTCCCTTTTAATTTCTGCTACAAATCAACAACAACAAAAAGTGACAATGAAGTGCACAATATCTTTAATGTGCGATGACAGTACACATTTGTCTTTGTGTGCATGCGAGAGTAAGAAGACTAATGTCATAATTTCCTTGAAAAGTCTGCAAAAGACAAACGTCCTACTAAAATTTAGAATCTTCATGTCAAAAACAGACCTTTGGTTTACCTCCTTAGATAATCCTCAAACACTGCTTCCACATGTCATCAGGCATTGATATTCATCAGCTAGTGTGTACTCTTTTGTAAGATGTATATGTTTGTTAGCTCAAGGTTAGTAATAATAAGGGCCATATAGTTCTAATATTTTATAATAGTAAATAGTGGTTTCTATGTGATGTAAAATTATGGTTATTAAACATTTACATTTGGTTAATCTTGAATATTTGGTTACTTCCTTTGTAATAAGGATAGTGTTTTGCAAGGTCAACTGACACGACACAAAAGACCACAAAGAAAAAAGCTGTTAAAAACACTACAAGACACATACAGGAAATCAGGCAGCATGCAAACCAAGAGGAAGCCAGAGATAATAAAGAGATCTGTACAGTCAAAAAAGATTGTTGAACAAGTGAGGGGATGAGTAAGAGACATGAAGAAAATGCAGTATATCTTCACTATTTATCTTTACAGACACACATCTTCCTACAGTCTGATTGTCAAGAAACACTTTGTATGGTTTGATCACTGACTCAGCTCTTATCTAGGGACAATTTCTCTGCACCTCTCCATCTCCTCTACATTCCTTTTTAAATTTCCCCATTCCTTCCCACGTCATTTTCTTCCCTACCTCAGGGATATAGATCCACTTTTTTCGTCCTTGTCTTCACATATGCTTGCAACAACCATTATAAAGCTATTTTAGGCAAAAACCATAATATTTTAAGAGATGGAGTACCTGAATTGACTAGTGGATTCAGAGACCCATAATGACAGTCACATGCTTTGCTCCTGAATGAATGTTTGGAATGAGCCAGTTCAATAATTGACTCATTAGGTTAGTCCCAATTTGTGTAGTTAGGCAATATTCTGTGCCTTTTTGTAGTATAGATATTAAGAGTAGTATAGCTATTAAATCTACTCAAAGACAGTTACTTGTTGCCACCTAGGGGTGTAACGATGTAACCTTAATAAAGGGTAACTGAAAAATCCCCAACATCAATGCACAGACTGACAGTTTTCTAAAACACGCAAACACAGACAAGCAGAGTGATACAAGTCACACAAGTGGACTAAATATCAGCCTTCATGGTGCAGTGCACGGCCAATCACACAGTATGTCAGAATATAGCATTATAAATAAGCCCCCTTAAGTATATCCACAGGTGTCCCCCAAGGATCTATTGTGGGTTCAATGCTTTTTACATTGTATATCAATGATCTTCCATCTGTTTGTCCCAACACTAACACCCAAATGTATGTGGACAAAACTTATTTATATTTTTGGAAATACATGATTCTGTATCAATAGTACTCACCTCATTAGGTGACACAGTCAGAACGCTCCGGCTTTTCCTCATCTTCTGTGAAGTTTTCCTCTCCCTGTCTTGCACAGGCCTGCTCCGCTGACACTCCTGCACAAAACATCAACACAAACCCACACAATCAACTTTCGCAGCAAAGACAGAAAGAACAGAAGAAAGAAAAGACATCTGACCTTGCTTGCTCGTGAGAGAGATGCCTCAGTGTAATGTTAAGATGGAGAGTATTTCGCTATTCTTCAGTGAGAGTGATAAAGAGAGCAGCACAGTTTGTCTGCAGTCTGACAGTGACAGTGGCATCTCTTAAACCCTCACAGCCACCTCTTTATCAGCTTTTGCGCTCAATATTTTTTCCAGCCTGTCTAAACTGACTTGCAAAAGTGATGTTAAGATATCCCTGTACAGAGACTGTTATGGAAGCATTTTTACATCCCTTGTGTAAAATTCAAACAGCAGGGATTTACACTCCAAAACCACATGGGTCAATATTATTTATTTAAAAAGCAGTACATAAGGGTGAGGTGTGTAATTTCTGGGCCACTAATGGTGCCAAACGAAAAAATAGCCATTGTTAAGCCACACCTTAAAATTGTTAGTAACCAATCCTACCTTAGCAACTGTTGCATGCACCATTTTGCACTTGTCTAATGTAAGTCTTTGAATGATGTGAATGCTTGAAAATTGTTATCAATTCTACAGAAATTAACCAGAAATATTGTAAATCATTGCTGCTGGG